AGTAGAGTTTTGAAAATGATGTTTGCTCTGTGCTCTGCGTGAAAAATGTACACACACACACATCACACACACACACGCACACACACACACACATACACACACAAACTAACACAAAAAACAAATAAACACAAAAACACATACACACACTCACTCTCTTTTTCGCACACATTTTTTTCTTTCTTTCTCTCTCTTTTCTCTCGCTTTTTCTCTTCTTCCTTTTTCCATTTCTTTCTCTCTCTCTCTCACTCTCTCACACAAACACACACACATACATACACACATGGCAATATTAAACGTGTCAATTTAATTTTCATAACGACTTTGTAGTTCCTAACATTTACTTGGGGTGGGTGGGTAGGTATGGGTCGGTAGACCTCGACAAAGAGAGCCTACTCCATGAAAGTAGTGTAAATATTCCTCTTCGATCCGTATCTACATTTTTTCTAACAGAAATACAAAATTTAATTTGCGTTTTTTTCATTATTAAACAAAAAATTTGGGAACTTCCATGCAATCATGTCAAAGGGAAATTTCTTCCCAATTCTAAATCCAGGACCGGCCGTAGACTTTCTTATTTATATATATATATATATATATATTTGAAAATCATTTTGTCAAATAAATACTCCATGAGAACTAATGACTTATACAAACGCATCATCAAATGACTTTTGAATAATATTCGGAAAATTTTTTACAACAAAATGTATTTTTTCCATTCTGTCTCTCACCATATCAACATCCACATGGAAAAATCAGTTTTTATATTTTTAAATTTTATCTGAAATTATTATAAAATTATATAAAATTATTTTCAAAAAAAGTCTAAATTCATTTTCTTTAGTTTTTAATCCCATAAAACTCTTTAGAGCGTAGAAATATTTCAACCTATGAATACGCACAATACATTTTTTTTACATCCCCGCTGAAATTTGCATGGGAAGGCACTTTAGCAAAAATCACATGTGTAAATGTGTGTGCGCGTGCGTGCGTGTGTGTGAATGTGCGTTTGCAGGCATTTTAAACCCACCACCTGCAAGTAGGATTTATTAATTCTGCAGTTTCACACACACACACACACACAAGAACACATATCCACACACACACACACATATATCTACACACACACACATACATATACACAATCATACATACACACAAACAAACACAATACTTATAAATATATAAATTTTCACACACACAAACACACACACATATTCACTAACACAGTCACACACATACGCAAACAACACACATTCACATATATGTATTTCCACATTCTCCATGGCATAAATTGATATCTTAGATATCTTTGTAATCATTGTGACATCATCCACATCTTCTTCATCATGTTTTATCATCATCTTCATCATTTTCATAGTCATTTTCATCATCATCTTCATCTTCATTGTCACCGCATGTAGTCTACCTCGTTTACAAAAACTGTTGTCTTTTTGCAAAAAAAATTTGCATCAGCAAATTTTTAAAGAGATTTGTCGTCTGTGTGATCATCATTATCACCTTTATTGATTCGTCATCATTTTCATCGTCGTCGTCATCTTCATTGTCATCTTCATCTTCAACATCATCATCGTCATCAACGCCTGATCAACATTACCATCCATTCAGAAAAAAACTTTTAAAACCGGAAGCGGATAGACAATTAATCACACAATGCATACATCATACACGCACACGAGCATACACAGACACACACACACGCACAAGCATACACACTCTGACACACAGAAAACAAGCATGCAAGTACAACACAAACATATCAACAAATAACAATCAATGGCAAAACACCCACACACACTCACACACACACACACACACACACACACACATATATATATATATATATATATATATATATATATATATATATGTCACGCAGCCACACACATACACACACACAAATACACACACACATCGGCACATACAACAATTGTATTTTATTTTTATTAATGAAGATCAAGAGATCATTATAGAACTGATATCTTATGAGTAAATTATGTAATGTATTCTCTTTGAAGTTATTAATGTTGCTAGTGTTGTTGTAATATAAGTTATTAAAAACAAATGGATTATTCAACCTCATACAAATCTCACATACAAACATACGTACAAAGTATACATATAAACTTAAATCTTACATACAAACATACATACAAACCAACATACAAACCTACATACAAATCTAAGTACTAATACACATACAAATTTAGATACATCTCACATACATACAAACATATATACAAATCAACACACAAACCTTCATACAAACTTAAGTATATACAGAAACATTGTATGTATTTTCAGATAAATACAATGTGTATTTCCAACCAAATTTTTTACAAACATAATTAAGTAGTCGCTAGATAATATTTTCATTTTCATTCAATCATTTTATTCATTCATTCAATTATGATAATTAGTTAGTGATAAATATTTTTGAGTTATGATTATGACCAATTAGCTAAGTATAATCTTTCATTTAATTAATTAAGCAATTAATTAATTTTAATAATTAGTCTGTTATAATTAAGTATTTTTCCTCTGTTCTCCGATTAATTGCTTTATTTAATTAAAAGAAGCAAAGAATAAACAATCAGGCGGCGGGGAAGCTTGAAAAATATTTTATCTATGGTGTGTGTATGTATGTGTGTGTGAATGAATGAACGAACGAACGAACGAACGAACGAATGAATGAATGAAAAACTCTTAAAAAAAAGTCTGCGCGTAAATAGATGAACGACAAAAATGAATAAAAGACAGGATGAATGAACGACTGACTGAAGGAGGAAGGGAGAAAAAGATAGTCAAGATAAATGTTGGATAAGGAATTGAATGGAACATGTAAAAGAATGAATAAAGATTGAAGAAGAAGAAAAAAACGAACGAACAAACGAGTGAATGAATGAATGAATGAACAAGTGAGTGAGTGGAAGAATATTTAATCTGATAGACGTATAGCAGATTGTATGTTCGCAGTCCGCACGCATAATATGAATAACATATACAAATTTCGTAAGAAAATTTTGTGAAAAAAAGTAAGATAGATTGATAGAAGGAATGTTTGAATGAATAAAAAAACGAATGAATGATTGAATGAAAAAACGGAATATAAATAATATAATGTAATATTTTATTGCAAATAATTCAATGGAAGAATTGAAACCAACTAGATTTGTTAATTGGAATAAATGATGCTGGATTCTACTGTTCGGTTTTTGTGTCTAAAATTAAACACAACATACACCTCACACACACACACACGCACGCAGGCCGCACACATACACACAACACACACACACACACTGACCGACACACACTCACACATACAACAGATCAAAAACGTTGATTTCTTAATGGCACAGAAGAAATTTTCTTCCAATGTTGAAATTAAATGTATTCGCCGACACGGAAGAACAGCATCAAACAATCAGACAACTCTTAATAAAAAAACAAAAAAACAACGATTACAGCAACAACAAAAGCAACTAAATCAACTACAACAACAATCTGAAACAAAAACATAAAGGTCCGGAATACTAATTACTTTGAGAAAAAAATGCCGACAGTTAACAAAATTAATTATCTCAAAAAAAGAAAAAAAAACATGTTAAAAAACATTGAAAGGCAATCACACACTAACCGTGTTAAATTGCGGAAACACATCCTCCCACATCCCACACACACGCACACAACACACACACAT